AAAGCTCCGTTTATGGAATGATCAAATCTCCTCCTCTTCCTTCTCCTTCTTTAATGTGGAAAAGTGTGAAAAATTTGCGTAAATAAACAAATGCCCTGCACCAGTGGTAAAATCCAATTTTTTTTAACTACCGGTTCTGTGGGCGTGGCTTGATGGGCATGGTGTGTCTTGGTGGGCGTGCCTTGGTGGGCATGGCAGGGGAGGGATACTGCAAAATCTCCATTCCCACCCCACTCTGGGGCCAGCCAGAGGTGGTATTTGCCGGTTCTCCAAACTGCTCAAAATTTCCGCTACTGGTTTCTCCAGAACCTGTCAGAATCTGCTGGATTTCACCCCTGCCCTGCACAATTTTAAGTACTGCGCTTATTCAATTATGTTCAAGGCAAATAACAGAACCAAAATAATGCAAAGCAACTACGTGCATCTCACAATATTGGTCAAAATGCCTTCTTTTCCTGCTGATGCTGCTCCTGCTAACAGTTTATATTCATAAGGAAGTTTTCTGGGACCCTGAATTTTTATTTAGAGGCAGACTATTCAATCACCAAGCTGGACTTTTTTTTCTTCTTTTTCTTTAAGCCACACGCTTCCCTACTCTAGACTTGAAATAGCACCGCATCCTACTTCAGAACATAGAAAATTGCAAGCCTTACGGATCATATAATGCAATGTTTGACTAAAGAAAATGAATGTGTACACAAGGGATAATTACAATGCTGAATGGGAAAGCTGACTTCAGTTGCAATTCCTGGCCTATTAAAAAAAAATTGAAACATAATGGGTCTAAATCCAGAGACAGATGTTTAGGAAAGGATTTGGTACTACTCTTTTCTTTTTGTTTATTTTTCTTCAGTTTTAAATGCGAGAACACTATCGTTGGGTTGTTTTAACTGTTTATGCAGTACTGTGTGTTTATGTTTGTTCAAATAAAATTATAAACAGAATACTCATACTTCAGACACCATTAGCATGGTCCAGCCCAGGGGTCTGCAACATTAAATACTCGAAGAGCCATTTGGACCTGTTTCCCACAGAAAAGAAAACACCGGGAGCTACAAAACCTGGGTGGGTGTGGCCAACTCGATGTCATTCACTTCCACAAGTCACATGATCCCCGCTTAGCCACGCCTACCCAGCTGGTCATTAGGGCAGAGAACCAGTTGTTAAAAAACACAGGGAACCACAAAATCCTTTTGACATATCCCTCTCTCCCCTCCCTCTCTCCCCCCCCTCTCTCTCTGTATCTCTCTGTCTCTGCCCTGGCCGCTTCTCCATCCCCCGCCATCGCCTTTACCTTCTCAGGCCAGGCGAGGAGTGACTGGGAGGGGAGGGCAAGGGGGGGGCACCCACTGGTGGGATCACCTGACAGGGAGCCACAGCAGAAGGCCCAAAGAGCAGCATGCAGCTCTGGAGCCGCAAGTTGCTGACCCCTGGTCCAGCCCAAACCAGGCCACCTAATTCTATGCATGGATTTTGGAAAAAAAGCTCTCTTAAGTTCCAAAATTTATTTATTTTATTTTATTTTATTTTATTTTATTTTATTTTATTTTATTTTATTTTATTTTATTTTATTTATTTATTTATTTGGCTTGTATGCCGCCCTCTCTCCAAAGGACTCAGGACGGCTCACAACAATAAATGCACAAATTCAATTATAAAATATAAAAAATATAAAAACCCGTTAAAATCACATTTAAAACCCCTTCAGTCCAATCTGGCCAGGCCAAATAGCCATGTTTTAAGATCACGGCGGAAGGAGCGAAGGTCAAGAGCCACCTGGAGCTCCAGGGGGAGCTGATTCCACAGAGTAGGCGCGCCCACAGAGAAGGCCCGCTCCCTGGGAGTCACCAGTCGACACTCTCTGGCCGACGGGACCCCAAGGAGGCCCTCCCTGTGAGAACGCACCAGGCGATGGGGAGCTGTTGTTGGCCGCAGATGGTCCGCCAGGTATGCTGGGCCTAAGCCATGTAGGGCTTTATAGGTAATTACCAGCACCTTGAATACCAGCACCTTAAATACTTAATATAGAATTGCAGGCTGAGTTGGATGGATTTTAGCAGTAGGGATTTAAGTACAAGCTTAACTCTCCCACTGAGTTTAACTAGACTTCAAAGAGATTTACCTAGATGAGATCGGATCCAGTGGTTGTTGTTTTTTTTAAATGCCAAAGGTCTTTGGAAGAAAACTTGGGGCCTGGATAGCGTCTTGATGATAGATTGTCCCTCGAAGTATATTTTTATGTGGCAATTTGAAATCAGACCTGGACCAGCCTGTTCTCACTATATTGGTAGAGTCTTTTACTTTGTTATTTATTAATTAGATCTTTAAGTCTTTGTAATTCACAGGATCAATTTGAGGAGACGCGAAAAGAAGGAAATAAAAATACAATGCCGCATAGTCGGCATGATCCTGATGGCCTACAAAGGGCACCCATAACTTCTTATGCTGCAGCTTCCCCAAGATGTTCAAGGGCAACCCCATGTGCAGCACACTGCAGTAGCCTAGACAGGAGGAGGTGAGTAATCATTATGAATGTTGCCGTGGAAGGGGCTTTGGCTGAACCTCTTTTCTGCTGCAACAAACATCTAGAAACAGCTATGGTGGAAGGAAGAAAAACAAGGTAACACCATGCTTCCCACAGCCAAACCTTGAAGCTGGAGCATGAAGATATCACAGTCAATGCTATCAAAAGCCACTAAGAGACCAGCTCCGATATACAGTATGCATTCCCTCTGTCCCAGTCCTACCAGAGGACATCTAAAATTTGATCAATGTTGGGGAAAAATCAATACTTACCGATAGATTTGAAAATAATATATAAAATTAATGAGTGTGCGGAATCGGATAGATTAACTAGATTGATGAATGGTAAAAAAGATTCAGAATTTTATAACAGTTGGAAAGTATGGTACGATTGGGTCCAGAAAAGGTGGGATAGAATAGATATATGATGATGTATATATATATGATGGCAAATATGTATGTATAATGGAATGACTTTATACTTATGGACAATGTAATCACATTATACCATGGTGGCAGGATTGTATATTTTATTTGTGTATTGGTGTATAGAATATATTAATAAAAATTAAAAAAAAAATTGATCAATGTTGTATCATGTTGTTTGTGTGAAACTTGTCTGGAAGGAGTCCAGATAACCCGTTACATCCTGGATCTCTCTCTACATGTAGCCCTCACTTAACAGCCATCTGTTTAGCTCCTATCCTATCCTATCTTTCCTATCCATCTTCTCCTCTCCTCTCCTCCTCTCTCCTGTCCTCTCCTCTCCCCTTCTATACTCTTCTCTCCTCTTCTCTTCTCCTCTCCACTTCCCTTCAATACTCTCCTCTCCTCTTCTCTTCTATACTCTACTCTACTCTACACTTCTCTTCTCCTCTTCCCTTCTATACTCTACTCTACTCTACTCTACCCAACCTAATCTAAGTCTAAATCATTTGAAGTTATGATGACACTGAAAAAAAGTGACTAAAGACCAATCCCTGCACTTAAGACAGCTGCAGTGTCCCCACGGATACATGTCTATGATTCAGGCTATTGGCAAATATTGTGCATTTACGATGGTCATGTCATCCTACAGTCATGTGATCACCATCTGTGACTTTTCCAGTCAGCTTCTGACTAACAAAGTCCGTGGGAAAGCCGGCAGGGAAGGTAACAAGTCGCTTAACAACCACGGTGATTCACTTAATGATCACGGTCCAAAAGATAAAACTGGGTATAGTCACACGACGCCTCACTTAATGATTGCACGGCTTAAACAATACATTTCCTGGTCTCTATCGTGGCTCTTAAGTTGATCATCTTCTCAACAGATTTCCTCCAAAAGATACTTACACCAGACCGAGCTCCAGTTGTCTACAAAGGGCCTGCAGAACCAGAATCTAACCTAGAATGAATCCGAGCGATTTTACCTCACAAGATACAGCAGCCTTGTAAATTTTCCTCCAGTCCCTTAGAATGGATTTGGCTTTGTTATTGCCGCAAAAGAGGAGGATATTACAAAATGATCTGACTCGTGTCTGACCAGTCCTTGTTTTTATTCCAGATTTTTCTGGAGCCCCTCAAAAAAAAAAAAAAAACCTACGGAGATCTCTGGGATCTACCGAACGAAAGAGCCCTTCTCGCCACAGGGCAATTCAGGCCACGGTATCCCCTTTAGTCCCGACCAGGGGTCGGCAACCTTCAATACTCAAAGAGCCACAAAGTTCCTAACTGGAAGCCCCCGTTCAATTCTGGAGCCGACCGGAAGTCCGGTTCCCCCACCATAGAGTCTCCTCCTAGCGCGGCCTCCTTTTTCCTCTGCCGGCTGGAAGTCGGTTCCCCCACCATAGAGTCTCCTCCTAGCGCGGTGTCCTTTTTCCTCTGCCGACTGGAAGTCAGTTCCCCCACCATAGAGTCTCCTCCTAGCGCGGCCTCCTTTTTCCTCTGCTGACTGGAAGTCAGTTCCCCCACCATAGAGTCTCCTCCTAGCGCGGTGTCCTTTTTCCTCTGCCGACTGGAAGTCAGTTCGCCCACCATAGAGTCTCCTCCTAGCGCGGCATCCTTTTTCCTCTACCTGTCCTAACTGAAAGCCCTATCAATTGTGGAGCCGACCAGCAACAGGGAGCCGCAGCAGAGGGATGAAAGAGCCACATGCGGCTCCAGAGCCGCGGGTTGCTGACCCCTGGTCCAGACAGTGACAAGGACTCCAGGCAAACCACACCTCAGAGTGTTCAGAATAGCCCCGGTCATCATTTGTTCTTCTGCAGTGTGTGCCAATTGCAGCAAAACTATTTTCCCTCCCGAAAGTGCTACAGCTCTGCAAAACCTCACTATAATTTTAACTTTTAACTTTTAACTTTGAGGTAGGCAGCTCAAGTCATCTCCATTTTGCTTTTTAATTAATCACTTACCAACACATAAGGAGTAAAATAAGAAAGCAGCATAAGCAATGTCTACTCCTAAAAAATAGCTACAAAGTTCAGCTTATACGGTACCTGTACAAATAGCCGCTCAAAAGCTAAAAAGTTGTCCCATTTGGCATTCTGAGGATCTTTTAGGGTCTGCACAACAGCCAGTGCGATCTGCAGAAGCCCACAATGGTTTTCAAGAGCGTCAAATTTCTTTTTGAAGAGCTGGATATACGAGTGAAGCTGTTCTGGGGTGACTCTCCCTGTGGTGCAGGGGAAAAAATATATATATATATTTATATATTGCAGTCGTTCTCAAGAGCATAGGAGTAAAGCAAATGGAAAATGTAACCCATGTCCAGATATATTTACACAATATTTTTCATGCAGAAAATAATATTTTTCATTTGTTCAATATAAGATTCCCCCCCACACACACACACTCATGTCAAGAGCCTTGGTGGCACAGCAGATTAAAGTGCTGTTAAGTAGCACCATGATGATATTTATTTATTTATTTATTGGTTCAATTTATTTGCCGCCTCTCCGGAGATTCAGGGCGTCTTACAGCTGCCTGCAATTACTGCAAGCTCAAATCTCACCAGGCTCAAGGTTGACTCAGCCTTCTATCCTTCCGAGGTAGGAAAAATGAGGACCTGGATTGTGGGGCAATAAGCTGACTTTGTATAAAAAAGAACACCGTTTTGTGGGGTGGGGCGAAAGCCCTACTAAGCAGGTATATACAAAAGTATGAAGGCTATTGCTTAATGCATTGTAAGCCGCCCTGAGTCTCCGGAGAAGGGCGGCAAATCAATCAAATCAATCAATCAATCAATCAATCAATCAATCTATCTATCTATCTATCTATCTATCTATCTATCTATCTATCTATATATATATATATATATCTCATCATGGCTTTCTTGTCACGCTATAACAACTTCATTCCTTAATAATTATCAAATGACCTTCAAGATGTATATCAGTGCACATCTCCCAAAACCCCTTCATTTTTTAAATTATAATAAGCCACCTGTGGATGGAAGGGGGAGAGAAAGGAAAATGAAAGAAAGGAGGGAGGAAGGGAGGGAGGGAAGAAGGAAGGGAGGAAGGGAGGGAGGAAGGAAAATGAAAGAAAGGAGGGAGTGAGGAAGGGAGGGAGGAACATGAAAGAAAGAAAGGAGGGAGGGAGGAAATTAGAGGAATCAATCAGGTGGAGAAGACGTGGTCTGTAGTTGGTTCTATGCAGATTAGAAGCTGCGAAGGAAGGAAGGAAGGAAGGAAGGAAGGAAGGAAGGAAGGAAGGAAAGGAAGGAAGGAAGGAAGGAAGGAAGGAGAATCAATCAGGTGGACATGACATGGTCTGTAGATGGTTCTATGCAGATTAGAAACTGGGAAGGAAGAAAGGAAGGAAGGAAGGAAGGAAGGAAGGAAGAAGGAAGGAAGGAAGGAAGGAAGGAAGGAAGGAAGGAAGGAAGGAAGACATATATTAATATAGGCCAACAGCAGAAAGCTGTGAGTTCATTACTAAGTGATGATTCTCAAGGACAACAGAAGGATGAACTCTTTAAAAAACTGCTTTTGGTGTTCCAAAATGAATAAATCCAGAGCCATATTACAGTCGGTTTGTTTCTTGATATTTTATTGCCTTTTATTTTGCTTAAATATTATCCAAAATCTTAAAAAGTTCATTTTGTTCCGGCAGGCCAACTAGGAAAAGTTAATAAGATTTCAAGGAACAAAATGTCTTGATCGTCATGGCTTACACATTTCTATTGCCTAAATTAAAGACAAGGGTGTGCGCTCTTCTACTTAATTAAGTTAAAGTTTATTTACTATACAATTTTGTCTAATTAACAAGTAACCAACCTGCCTACATAAGGAAAACCTTTGAAATGATTTCATTTATGAATTGCAAACCTCTAGCCCCTCGAGGAGTCTCTGGAGGCTGGGGACAGCAAAAAATGTCACTTCCTGTCCAACCGGAAGTTGGGAAACGGGCCGTTTCTGGTCTCTGAAGGGCCTCCGGGGGGGTGGGAAAGGCCATTTTCGCCCTCCCCAGACTCCTAGAGAGGCTCTGGAGCCGGTTGAGAAAGAAAAACGGGCCTACCGGGCCATCGCGTGCCATGAGTGGGGGGGGGGGGTGACACGTGCATGCGCGGGGGGGGGGCATAGAATTATGGGTGTGGGCACGTGCGCGTGCGACCCCCCCGGCCCCCCCTTCTGGCATGCAATGGCAAAAAGGCTAGCCATCACTGGCATAGGCAAATCTAGTGCACCAGTTGCATCCTTTCCTGGGTGCTCTTCAGACTGTCACTCATGCCTGGTTGCATCACAAATGGACTATTGTACTATGCCAGGGGTGTCAAACTCAATTTCATTGAGGGCTGCATTAGAACTGTGGTTGACCTTGGGGGGGGCATGGTGGTGGCCAGCTTGGTGGGCGTGGCCAGCTTGATGCCACTCCCCAAACTGCTGGCATGCTTCCTCTTTGCACTGGGTAGACCGGGCCGAAGCCATGCTGGCCCAATGTTTCTTCTTCGCATTGGGTAGACCGGGCTGAAGTGAGGTGGACCGGCCCCTTACATTTTTCAGGACAGCCCCGCGGTCCAGATCCAACCACATTGTGGGCCTTGTGTTTGACAAGGCAGTTAATTGGGCTACTCTTCAAGATCATTTGGAAGCAGGGGTGAAATCCAACAGGTTCTGACAGGTTCTGGAGAACCAGTAGTGGAAATTTTGAGCAGTTCGGAGAACCGGTAGCGGAAATTTTGAGTAGTTCGGAGAACCGGCAAATACCACCTCTGGCTGGCCTCAGAGTGGAGTGGGAATGGAGATTTTGCTTCCTTCCCCCAGGACTGGGGAAGAAATGGAGATTTTGCAGTATCCTTCCCCTGGAGTGGGATGGGAATGGAGCTTTTGCAGTATCCTTCCCCTGCCACGCCCACCAAGCCACCCCCACAGAACTGGTAGTAAAAAAATTTGGATTTCACCACTGCTTGGAAGGTATATGTAGATGACCAGACTAATCCAGAAGGAGAGAGGAGAGGTCAAACACATCATCAGTTATGAATCTCTTCACACCTACAAGAGATTCAAGTCTAATCGACCTTGAATTCCTGTGACTCTTATCTACCACCAATTTACTTGGGCCAGTAAGCTTGCAATAAATCTTGAACTGCCTGGATTTCTTCATTTCCTTAGCGCTTGATGGCCTAGTAGTCAAGAATGCAGTTGTGTGAGCAGTAGGTGTGCCTGCTTTATTATGTTCCTGTGAACCATTGTTTATCAGCAATCTTGCAGGTACAGTTCAAAATGCTGGTTATCTCCTATAAACCCTCTATGGCACAAGTCCAATTGATTTTTATTTTTATTTTTTTTTATTAATTTAATTTGTATACTGCCCTTCTCCCAGAAGGGACTCAGGGCGGTGAACAGCCAAAATTAAAATACATACAATACAAAAGTTAAGATAATTAAAAGATATTAAATCAATCAGCCTCCCAATTTAAAACCCCAAATCTATAAAATTTAAAAATCCCATTAAAAACCCTTTAGGCTAGGCCGGCTTGCTGGAATAAGTAAGTCTTCAGGGCCTTACGGAAGGTCCAGAGATCCAGGATCAGTCGTATTCCAGGAGGTAGCTCATTCCACAGGGCGGGTACCCCCACAGAGAAGGCTCTCCCCCTGGGGGCTGCCAGCCGACATTGCTTGACTGACGGCACCCTGAGGAGGCCCTCTCTGTGAGAGCGTATTGGCCGGTGGGAGGTTATCGATAGCAGCAGGCGATCTCTAAGGTACCCTGGCCCTAAGCCATGGAGCGCTTTAAAGATGAAAACCAACACCTTAAAGTGTACCCGGAAGACCACTGGGAGCCACTGCAGCTCGTGCAGAGAGGTGTTACATGGGAGCGCCACGTCGCTCCCATAATCACCTGAGCGGCCACATTCTGGACCAGTTGGAGCCTCCAGGTGCTCCTCAAGGGGAACCCCATGTAGAAAGCATTGCAGCAGTCCAGGCGAGACGTGACGAGGGCATGGGTGACTGTGCATAAGGAGTCCCGATCCAGAAAGGGGCGCAACTGGCGAACCTGATAAAAAGCCCCCCTGGCCATGGCCGTCATATGCTCTTCTAAAAACAGCCATGTGTCCAGGAGGACACCCAAGTTGCGAGCCCCCTCTGTGGGGGTCAATGACTCGCCCCCAATAGCCAGCGATGGCACCAGCTGGCTATATCGGGACGCCGGCATCCACAGCCACTCGTTCTTTGAGGGACCACCTGTCTCCAGCTGTCCCATGAGATTGCAGAATGGGCATGCTTTGAGCCCCATCGGTTAAACAATGATGCCTAGCAGGAGCCGAGGAGTATACTTGGCTATAGTGCCTGCCCTCTGGAATGATAGTCCCCCAAAGATTTCGATGGTTCCCACCCTGATGATATTCAGGAAGCTATTGAAGATCTGGTTATTCTCCTAGGCTCGGGTGTGGCCTTGAAGATGGAGCCATGTTGAATAAGGAAGGATTGTTTATTACTCTATGTCTGACTCAAGTCACTTAAGATTTTTTCAGTATTGTACAACTGCCAAGACCAAGGCTTGGTGGGCGTGGCATGGATTTGTGGGCGTGACTTGGTGGGCGTGGCAGGGGAAGGATACTGTAAAATCTCCATTCCCTCCCCAATCCAGGGGAAGGTTACTGCAAAATCCCCATTTCCTCCCAATCATCTGGGACTTGGGAGGCAGAGAATAGATGGGGGCGGGGCCAGTCAGAATTTTTACTACCGGTTCTCCGAACTACTCAAAATTTCCCCTACCGGTTCTCCAGAACTGGTCAGAACCTGCTGAAACCCACCTCTGGTTAAAGTGACAACATTTATTTCGCTCTCAAAATTCAATCTCACAAAGAAATGCCTCAATGGGGTTTGTGTAATGTTCAAACTTATGATTTATGTAGGTTAATAAAATCAATAAAAATTATTTTTTTAAAAAAAGAATGTTCAAACTAAATTTCCGATATCGATTTCCCCCATGATGGATGTGGTACAGAGATAACTGGATTCCAACTCAAACATTCAAAACTGTTGGGAATATGAGGCTCGTATAAATGTTTCCTAGGTCCTCCTTTCACAAAGTCCAAAGATGGTCACATTTTGTTCCTTTCTCCAATCTTGGATGTTCTTTCATGTTCCCAACAAAGTTCAAAAACACCTTATCTCCATAAATCTGTTCTTTCCTTTGAAGTTCTTTCTCCCTCCTCCCTCCCTATGTACTTACTGTTTAAGGGATTTACAGTAGCTTTACTCCTGCCTCTCGAATAAAGGCTGCTGTACCAGTATATTGTTACTGTAGGCTAAATCTGCCTTGTGCCTTTTAATGAGCTCCTTTAGCCTTTGGTGTTTCATTCCGCATAGTTTACTAAGGAGGAAACTAAGGAGGCCCTTTTCCATTAGTGGAGGAGAAAGGAGCATTTGTTTCTCCTGGTGTTTCAGCTTTTATCATTCAGCATGCTAATAAAGAGACATAATTTTTTTTTTTTTTTTTAATTTGATTTATATGCCGCCCTTCTCCGAAGACTCAGGGCGGCTTACAATGTGCTCAGCAATAGCCTTCATCCTTTTGTATATTTATACAAAGTCAGCTTATTGCCCCCACAAACTGGGTCCTCATTTCACCTACCTTAGAAAGGATGGAAGGCTGAGTCAACCTTGAGCCTTGGCGAGATTCGAACCCTGCAGTAATTGCAGGCAGCTGGTCTTAATAAGCTTAATAACAGGGTGCCTTAAACCCCTGTAGTACCAAGGCTCTTAAAGAGATTCAGGCTCCCTTCCGATTTACTGTCCTCTGTTAAAACTGCCAAGCAAGGCAGGCTACTTCTGAAGTCAAACCATGGCATTGATGACAAGGCATCTTTGGTTGCTCAATAATATGCTAATAGCAAAGATTCAAGCAAAAGCATTATGAAGCTTCACTCCCAAGATGCTTTCCATACATCTGATCACTAAAATAGGACCTGAAGAAAGGAAGGGCTGACCAAGTTACACCGGGAAAAAAAAATAAATCTTTTTTTTTAGGAATCTTCTTCTCATCTTCTCATCTTCCTCACCTCTCATCTTTCCTACTACCTTCTCCTATTGGTATGCTACGATTTATAAATTCGTAAATATGAGCCAGTTGCCAAGCACCCAAATTTTGTTCAGGTGAGCATGGGGATGCTGCAACGGTCATAAGTGTGAAAAAGAGTCATGTCACGGTGCCATTGTAACTTTAACGGGTCGGTTGAAAGTCGAGAACTACCTGTACATATAATCTTCTTTATGTGTTAGAAAAAAAGTATGGAAACGTTGCTCTCTCTCTCAAATCTTCTGGGACATGGGCAGGAAGCGATCGTGTGGTGTTCTGAGAAGATCTACAGAAATAGGATATGTGAAGGCTTTTTATTCCCTCTTCGTCCATACATTGCTCTAAAAACAGAGCGCCCCCCCCCTCCATTTCTTCCATCTGTAGGTAAGGACATACATTTCCATGTCTCTAGATCAGGGGATATCGGTGCAATTCTCACAGAGAACAGACTGTTTCCTGGCAATTTGACTTCAAGGTTTTACAATATTAAAAATAATGATTAATAATAATCTGCTAAACAAATAATTCCCTCAACACTGCCAAACTATTTACTAAGTCTGCACTGCTATTAATCTTCTCATTGTTCCCACCACCCATCTCCTTCCACTTATGACTGTAATTTTGTTGCTTCTATCCTTACGATTTATATTGATATTGTTTCCTGATTGCTTATTTGTACCCTATGACTATCATTAAGTGTTGTATCTTATGATTCTTGATGAAAGTATCTTTTCTTTTATGTACACTGAGAGCATATAAACCAAAACAAATTCCTTGTGTGTCCAATCATACTTGGCCAATAAAAAATTCTATTCTATTCTATTCTATTCTATTCTATTCTATTCTATTCTATTCTATTCTATTCTATTCTATTCTATTCTATGATTTGCAGTGTCATGAAAAAGTTTGACTATTTTAATAGGGGTGGGGAGGTGTCCGGGGCCAGAAATATTAAGTAGCCCAAAACATAAAAGAATCCCATTCCTACACAAACATGACATCCAATTAGCTCTTTTCCAATTTCATGCTCCTACAATACTGGAGATAGGGAACAAAGAAATCAACCTGAAATATTATGAACATCGCTATGGGAAATTGTATGTACAAATGTCTTTCAAGAAAACTCCAATGATTTAGGACCGAATATCTTATCACTCTGCTGAACAACTAATTCCCACAACACTGTCAAACTATTTAGTAAGACTGTATTAATATTATTATTCTCATCTTTCCTATTACCTATCTCCTTTTCTACTTATGACTATAACTTTGTTGCTTGTATCTTTACAATTTATATTGTTTTATTTAGTTTCCTAGTACGATTTGGGTTGATTCTATCACTAAGTGTTGTATCTTATGATTTGTAATGCATGTATTTTTATGATGACTATGATCATGATTTATCACTTATAGCTTTTATGTACATTGAGAGCTTATGCACTGAAGACAAATTCCTTGTGTGTCTAATCACATTTGGCCAATAAAGAATTCTGTTCTGTTCTGTTCTGTTCTGTTCTGTTCTGCTCTGTTGTTCTGCTCTGTTCTGTTCTGTTCTGTTCTGTTCTGTTCTGTTCTACTCTACTCTACTCTACTCTACTCTACTCTACTCTACTCTACTCTCTACTCTACTCTACTCTACTCTACTCTACTCTACTCTACTCTACTCTATTCTACATCCCAGGTAAAAGATTCATTAATACAATTTCTGATACATTTATTTCAGCATATTATTAATCATGCAGTTTAATGCAATTGTGTAACTATTCTAATTGCATTACAAAAAATAAAACAGATAGTTGACCGCATGTCTGCGGAATCCTGTTGTGACCTAGGCTTCCTGAGTCATTAAAGCACACAAGTAGTCCCAAAAACCTCTTTTATTGCAACAGCTGTGAATTACGTTCATTCACAGCTGAGTCCCAATTAGTTGCAAAAAGTCCTTTGGGAGAAGTCCTTTGGGATAATCACCAACCTTTATCTCCCTTGACACGCTGCCTACTTGGCAAAGACACATGGAGTCCAGAATCAAACAGAGATGCCGACTGGGAACAGAATTAACAATGTTGCTTTCCTGCAAAGGGCCCACGTATCTTTGCTCCTCTTTTAAGCCTTATGGGAGGGGCCAATCATCTCCTGGCCTTACTCCCTAGTTGTCCCTTTTGTTTTAACTGTTCTTGCCTTCTGGCAGCTCTGTGCATGTGTGCACTAGGAATAGGCTTCTCCTGTTCCTCTGCCTCTCTTGATGTCCGACTCTGGAGCTCTGGAATCCACGCATAACTCCCAGATGGCCCTGGCCCCATCTCTGCCTCTGACGCAGAGCCCTCATCTGAGCCTTCCCCAGACTCCAGGACTGGCCCATGTTCCTCCCCAGCCTCCTCACTGTCCGACTCTGCCGCCAGCTCCGCAGGCTGCTGGCGGACCACAACAAATCCACAGAAATGGTCTCCATGTAGCAAAGGCATTAAAACCCTAATCACTTCAGAAAATTTAGCTTCCTGTCCAATGAGAATAATCCCAACTTATCAAATGAATAATCATTAGGAAGTCATGCCACTTCTAGTGCATTCGCAGTAGAGTTAGTTAATGGCGTATGGGCTCACCCATGCTCATCTTGATTGGCAAGTTTTCTCGGCTTGCAGCTTCCACAAGGTGTCTTCTAACTTCCATCAAACCTTCCTTCTGTTTTAGATTCATTAAGGACTCCCACAGAGTTCTAGCAGCTGGTTCTCTGTTCACAAAAGGAAAATTGAGAGTTTAGACTAGCATCTGTTTGTCCTAGCTTAGTGATGCCCATATTGCAGAATGCCAATATATTTTAAAGTGCAGAAATATTGTTCAACTTTTAAAATAACAGCTGCCCCGTTTTTGTTGATAAGACTCTAGGAATTAACAACATATTATAAGCATGGCTTTACTACAAACTGAGTGTTTTGTAACAGCAACTGAAGCCCAAGGTCCGGTTGAAAAACCAATGCTGGTAGTCCTCGAGGTACGACCACAATTGAGCTCAAAATGTATGTTGCTAAGTGAAACATTTGTTAAGTGAGTTTGTCCCATTTTACGATTTTTCTTGCCACAGTTGTTAAGTGAATTACTGCATTTGTTAAGTTAGTAACGTGGTTGTTAAGTGAATCTGACTGGGTAGGCGTGGCCAACTTTTTTTTTTTTTTTTACTTTTAAAACCATTTTTTTTGTAACCTCTTCAGCTGAAGAGGTTGTAAAAAAAATGCTTTTAAAAGCCTCTGGCGATCCCAGCTGAGTTGCCTGATCGGCAGAGGCTTCTTTTCTTTTAAAAGCCTCTGACGATCCCAACTGAGCTGCGTGATCATCAGAGGCTTTTCTTTTTTTACTTTTAAAAGCATTTTTTCGGCTGAAGAGGTTGTAGAAAAAAAATGTTTTTTTAAAAAAAAGCCTCCGATGATCGTGCGGTTCAGCTGGGCATGGGGGGGGGCAGGAATTTTTGCTACCGGTTCTCTGAACCACCCGCCCCATCACTATCGGATCGGGCGATCCGGTCCGAACCAGGAGCATTTCACCCCTGATATTTTCCTAATTTATATTGTGCCAACATTTCTAGGAACTTTCTTAAGGATTCTGATTTGAAAAGTGAAAATACACCAGAACGCCATTTCCAAGCATATGTGCTGCTTGGAGACATAAACATTACATTGTGAGGATTAGAGCCAAGATCTTTCTAAGGCACCTTTTTGGAAGAGTGAAAAACTAAATAAAAACTTTCTAGCAAACATTTGGCTTTTATATATGAAATGGGTTTTTTTTTTTTTTGGAAAAAAAAAACTAATTTCCCTCTTGCTTGTTTTCATTTTTCAAAGACATGAACTATCCAATAAAAATGGATTTGAGAAGCGATTTTGCTTACATAAGAAGTCACACATGTTCACACTTAACTTTTTGACTCAACAGCAAATATCAGTCAATGTTTGAACAAATCATGTATGATACTTCATTTTTTTTAAAAAAAGGCTTATATGGTAATAACATAATTTATTTTTGGACTGATGAACAGACTACAATTACATCCATCTCGAACACCATCTCAAATTTATTCCAACAGGCAAAATACCACATAATTATCTTTTGCAACTTCTTCGTTTAAAAAAAAAAAAGAATATAAGGAAAGCAAATAATTCCAGCAAGGAATACTGATTTCAATTACGCTGACTGTTCTGAAGCGAATGGTATTACCATAGCGGCTTTGGTTTACAGTAACTCTTAATAAATCAGCTACGGTGAGTTCTATGTGCTTCAGATAACTTGTTAAAATAGCAATTCTGAAGACAGAAATGGGGAATAAACCTTGCAAAATTCAGTAAGACAGTTTTGAATTAACCAGCTATTTGCAGCAATTCTTCTGTGTTAATTTGTAAGGTCTGTGGTCAAGCTTTAAAGCGGGGGTCCTCAAACTTTTTAAACAGGGGGCCAATTCACGGTCCCTCAGACTGTTCAGGGGGGGCAGACCAGCTGGGTGGGCGTGGCTAGGTAGTCATGTGGCTGAGTGGGCGTGGCCAATTTAGCAATCCAAACAATACACACAAATTAAATTTTGTTATGCTCCCAGGGTGGAAAGCAGGATAGTGAAGGGATGAGGTTGCCTTGGGGTGTGTATGAAGGACTTCTGTTTGTGCGTGTGTGTATGTATGTGTGTGTGTGTCTCCCACTCTCACTTTCTCTGGAGGCTGGGGAGGCAAAAAACGGGCCCATTTTTGGCCTACAGAGGCCTCCGCATGTCCTGTTTTTGGCCTCCCCGGTCTCTAGAAGGCGGGTGGGGGCCAATGGGTAGGTGAGACGATGTGGGCAGGGCAGCCTCATGGTCCTGCGCGGGCCGGATTATTGGCTTCGGCGGGCCGTATCCAGGCCCCGGGCCATAGTTTGAGGACCCCTGCTTTAGAGGTTTCAATTTAATTTTAATTAGCTATTTTTACCATTGAAATAAATGCTTTGTCCATTCCTGGGCACAAAATCCCAGCTATTTTGTAGCAACCGAATGTATGCATCTTTATATGCAGACATGCTTTCCATCTTGCCAATTCAGCCCTCACAAACAGCGCATTCCAAGGGCGCGTTCTACAAAACAGACAAGAAACAGTCTTGATGGAACATATCACTTGAATTTTAACTCTTAATGTCTCAGAAAGCTCCACTTGCACTAGGAGAGGTGATCCGATCATTACTTCAGATCAGGGGTGTCAAACTCGATTTCATTGAGGGCCGCATCAGGGTCGTGTTTGACCTCAGGGGGTGTGTGGCCAGGGGGGGCATGGCCAGCTGAACATCACTCGTGTTGGGGGCGCCTGTGGTGGGCTGAGCACTCTGCCAGCAAAAACTGGCTCCTGAGCTGAGTTTTCAGCTGCGCCAGGCGCGCTGGCCTCCTATAACCAAAAACAGAGCTCAGGAGGGCCACCCGCTGGTAGAAGTACCGCAAGCCGGTCCTTCGCGGTTTCCAGGGCAGCCCACGGGCCAGATCTAAGCACCTCATGGACCAATCCAGCCTCCAGGCCTTGATTTGACACCCCTCCTTTAGACTATCCAAAGGCTGTGCATCTGTCTTCTGATTGACTTTACTGGAGCAAATTAACTCTGGCTATAGAAGAATTCTGGAGGACATCAGACTGGGGGAAAGTTTTCAAAGTAAAATTCTGAAAGCACAGAAAGATTATCTTTCAGAATATTTGCCAAGTTCTGAGGTCATTAATGAAGTAAAGGGGATTCAGCTCAGGAACATTTTACCAAATGATTATTGTGATCCAGGCCCAAGTAAGTAATAGGAAAATCAGTCCGTGGAAAAACAAACTTTATTCGAACAGCTGAGAATTACTTCATTCCCAGCGTCATTCAACTAAATTAAAGCAAATTCCTCCCAACACAAATTCCTCAGTCCTATCGCAAACCTTGATCCAATTAGGCAAACTGCCAAAGGCCTTTCTTGGCAAACATTCAAAAGTCACAGATACAAAAATAAATGCAAGACGTAGATGAAGAAGACGAAGCTACTGACGTTGTTTTCTGGCAAAGCCCAAATGCCGTTGCTGGTCTGTTTTAAGCCTTATGGGAGGGGCCAATCATCTCTTGGTCCTACTCCCAAGTTGTCCTCTTTGATTGAGCTGCTCTTGCCTTCTGTCAGGCTCCTCTTGTTCCTCTGCCTCTCTACTGTCAGTCTCTGGAGGCTCTGGTGTCCGCACCTCACTCCCCGATGGCCCTGGCTCCATCTCTGCCTCCGACACAGAGCCCTCATCCGGGCCTTCCCCAGCCTCCAGGACTGACCCATGTTCTTCCTCAGCCTCATTGCTGTCCGACTCCACTGCCAGCTCCGCAGGCTGCTGGCAGACCACAACAATGATAGTGAATAGTTCCCACAGATTTTAAGGATGTTTTCTGAAGATTACAACGTGTTACATCAATTTTTGGTCTTGTGCTTTATTTCACATTATGTCCGTCCCCCGCCCCCCAGCCAACAAAAGTTCTAAGTAGCATCTTAAATAGAATTTATCCTGATTTGCACTAAATGCCAACTAACTGGAAACTAACAGCATGTCAGAGGCAATTAGCCCCGTTACCTTCCTGGGGTAATTGCCTGGATCGTGGCATTTTCCTTGTGTATACTTTTGATAAAATAAAACCGGAATACATTTATTTATTTATTTATTAAATTTATATACTGCCCTATTCCTGAGGGACTCAGGGCGGTGAACAGCGAACGATAAAAATACATGTAATACAAATGTTAATAAAAAACCAATTAAAATATACTAAACACTCTGGTCCTAGATAATTCAAGACATCCCAGTTTAAAATAAAATCAAAAGCAATATAAAGGGAAAGTTAGGCCAGGCCGGCCTGCTGAAACAGGAATGTTTTGAGGGCATCTTCTAATTAAACTCATATTTATTGTAAAGAAGAAAATAAAACATCTTACTAAACTAAATAATTAATTGTTACATTTTTGCAAAGTTCCTATCGGCTACTTCTCAGCAGCCGGACTTCTCTGGCAAGAGAACAAAGAAAAGTGTGAAGTAGAAAGAAAGGAATGCGGATATACGTAGTATCAGTTACTGATAAGAAATTTTGGCAAGCTACGGAAAGTCTGACAGTCCAGAAATAATGAGCTCTGCTGGTAAATACAAAAACGCAGTGACACAGCAAACTCCAGTTGGAAACTTATAACAAATGGAAGCTATTTTAGTAAAAAATGGAGTTATGTGCTGAACACTGATTACCATTTAATTAAATGTAAAACAAAATTGTTCTAGGGAAATATGTTTAGTTCCCTGTGAAATGAACTTTCCAAAAAGAAGTAGTACGTATGTGATTTCTGGCCTAGGCTTGTCGTATTTACAGATCTGCATGTCTTAGTCAAAGTAATAGATAAGAAAGGGATCGTGATAATAAAATACCAAAATGCAGCCCTGTCTCTGCATATACGTTTCCAATATTCTGTCATGCTGCATGGCAGCCAAGAAACAAATAGCAAACAGGCCTTTCCACTTAGGAAGAGATTTGATTCTTAATTAATCTAGCAAAGCAAGGAATGAAACTGGCTCAGTGACAAATACAGGCTTTTAATTTCACCAATCAAAGCAAATGGTTGCTTTGTATTTCTCTGGAACTGTACTGAAATGCGGGTAACGTTTTTATTGCATAAAATCATTAGGAAAAAACAAGTATACACGTTGCATAAACTTATTAACAATAATTCTTTATTAAAGAAAA